GCCACCTGTGCCGGATCTGTAAGGTGCTCAAGTATTCCCGTCGCCACCTACACCAAAAGATCTCTGCCAGACTTTGGACTTGCTTCCACTCTTCTTTGAGAAGAGATTTGCTCCCAAAGGTGCCTGGGGGTGGAGTTGCAGCTCCAGTCCTCTGAGTGAGAAGCATTGTTCGAGTAAGGATAAGGGGCGATTCTGGGTCTGACGAAACTGGAATTAGAGGCCTGGCATTCATGATAGCCGTAACCTCAGCCATGAGTGTGGTCAGAACCTCTTGAGTAAGGTGTGACTTGTGTTCCAGAAGCATGGCGCCAAGAATGTGACGGGCTATGCCAATCATCCATTCCCATGCCACACCCATGTGCGACGTGTGAGGTCGGTTGAACACCCATGTGCAGGTGTTCTCTTGCAGGTACTTCTGAACACTCTCCGAACTGCGGTTCGGTTCTTCGAGCTGCAGCTCTCGACAGGCTCCAACAAAGTCTGTGCCACAGTCTGACCGTATTTGTTTAGTGGGTCCTCTTATGGCAAAGAATCTTATCAAGGCATTGATCAGGCTGCTGGCGCTCATTCATTGTCTCAATCACCTCGATGCGTACAGCTCTTGTACACAGGCAAGAAAACATTACAGCCCACCTTTTAGAGTTAGCATGTCGTCCTCTAGTACGGCGAGAGACAACTTCCCATGGCCCGAACACACCAACGTTCTCCATTGGCAGGTCTGCCATCTGTTGGAGTTCTGTAGCTCTGCGCAGCTTTCTGCAAGTGACGCCCTTGTAAAGTAAACTGCTTATTACTCTCTTTGCGCCAATCAGCCAAACTCCAGCTGCTCTGATAGCTCCTTCCGTGAAATGCCGTCCTCGGTGCTTCACAGCTTCATGATAGTGGCGCACAATCAGAATTGCCACATGGTGTCGCCCTGGGATGATGATAGGTTTCACTTCACCTTGCTCCAGCTTGGACTGTATGATGCGACCCCCAACCCTCAAGAGTCCATTAGTATCAATAAAAGGGTACAGTTCACGGAGGGGGCTCTTCAATGGGAGATTACGCTCTGCTTTCAGGCTCTTTAGTACTCCCATGTAAGCCTCATGTTGTGTACTCTTCAGCACAAAGATCTTGGCTTTCTCTAACTCCTCTCCAGATGGGCCGTTGCTGCAAATGTGCAATCTTCGGCAGTTACTTTCTGTGGAGCAACAGAAGGATGAGGCTATGTGGATAAGACGCGCTATTGCTCTGAGGAGAGTGTTGTACCTGGAGAAACGCTCCAAGTGTTTGAGCTTGTCTGGTTCTGAGAAACAGAGGTGAGGTTTACTGTTGCTACAGGACGTGTCTCACAGTCAGAGGCAGGGTCAACGAGGCCAAAGGTCTCCTCGGGCTCAGAACAGTAGGTAGATGGCTTCTTGAGGAAGGATGGAGCGGTAAGCCAGGTGGTGCTACGAAGGAGGGCAGCTGTGACAGACCTTGAACCATGGTCAGCAGGGTTGAGATCTGTGGGAACATAATACCACTGTGCAGGAGAAGAAGTCTGATGGATACGCTGAACTCTGTTGTTCACGTAGACGTAGAAACGTCTTGACTGGTTGCGGATGTATCCGAGAACCACTTTACTGTCAGTGTAGTACTGAGTACTGTCGACCTTCAGATCCATCTCTGCAAGGATCATCTCAGCTATCTCAACTGCAAGCACTGCAGCACGCAGTTCGAGTCTGGGAACAGTGACGTCTGGCTGCGGTGCCAACTTTGCTTTCCCAAAGACAAAGCTAACTTCAATGAAGCCTTCACAGGATGTTAGCCTCGGGTAGGCTGCAACTGCTTTCACTGAGACGTCTGCTTCCACGGTGTTGCTGTTCCTGTGTGGCAGAGTAATGTCATGTCTCCATAAAGCTTACCTGCTCCCTGGTGCAGCTCCACACTTAATGTAATTGCCACTTCAGCCAGTCAGCACACACTCCCTCTCCATCTCTGTCAGGCCTTCTATCTTCAGCCTCAGCATGTCAAACACTTCCTCTAACATTTGCAGGGTTCAGATGTCAGGGAGAGGAATCTCCCTGACATCTTGAAGCAGTCGGTAGCCCGTTGAGCCCGTGGTAAACTGCAGTTTTATGGCCTGTTTCCCCATCTCATGCCCTCTTATTGTTCATGGAAATAATTAAGCTAATTCTTTTCCATGGCTACATGTTTTGCCCTTAAGATATCATTCATATTTTTCTGTTGTTTTAGAGCTCCTTCTGCCCTCCCTGTCTCATCACTTTGTCCGTCCATCTCCTACCTCAGGTCTTTCACACTGGTTCCTGGCTTATTGACTCCTGGTATGTTCCTCTCAGTTTCCTCACAGTCTTCACCTTCCTTGTCATTCGTTCCGTAACTTTCCTCACTCCTCCCTCAACATCTGAAATTATGACGTGGCAGTGTTCGTGTTACATGGAGAGTATATAGGCTAGTCATTGAATTTGACTTCACATTATTGATACAGAAGCTCATTTTAGGTCAATATGTGTTGTGATGTCTAGTGATGGTCAGGTGGCTTCTGCTGACTTTAATATTATAAGATTAAACATTGACTGATTCTTGATTCACGACCAGGTCTCAAGATTATCCTACGACTGCACTGGAAGAATGTAATCGCTATTACACACAAATTCCTTTTCTGGCCTGCTTTCTGACATCTTTCTCTCCCTATAGGAAGTGAAATAAGTTTCTTTGAAGACAGCACATTCAAGGAAATGTACCTATCCTCCCTGGATATAATATATAATAAAATGCATTGTTGAATGTAATTGGTTGCCTTGTATATTTTTCCCTGTTTACCAAAACTGTTTTCTTTCTTGACTTAAACTTAACAGCTTCTGGCTTTCATTGACATTCACTTGTTGTGCATGTTTATGTGAAAGTGTCTTTATAACATAACATTAGAATGTCAGTAATTATGACAATAGAAGCATGAGGAAAAATATCTACACACTGTAAATGTATTATACCTTATGGGAACAGCCCCCCTTCACTCCAAAATGAAAAAGTATTAAATTTAAAGGGCTTTATTGGCATGAAGGTTTCAAGAACAGTGTTTCCAAAGCATTGTTGGGTAAGACAGTTACAGTTAACTTTAAGAGTTATACACCATGGCAAGAGAAAGCACAGCAGCCAGACACAAGGTAGAGCTACTGCATCAGCAAGGTCTCTCCCAGGCAGCAGGTGGTGAGGACTGATGAGTCAAAATGTCTCTGTGTTCTATAGTTTAGCTTATGTTTGGGGAAGGGTGAAAGGGTACATTAGCCATACTGAAATTAATCCCCAGTTAACAGTAATGTTATGGATCGTATTTAGGAATGTTAATATTCACTCAGTAACCATCTCTCCAGTTACATTTCAACAGACCACACCGTTAATGCTGTCTGTCCATCCCTCCCAGGATAGAATACACTGTGTAGTCAACATCGGGTAGTCAACATCGTAATCAATGCACATTATAAGTACAGAGAATAAGTCCTTTGTTTGATGTAATTAGAAGGTCATTTTAACCAGTGCTGTCTCTGTGCTATGATGAACTCTAAATCCTGACTGAAAATCTTCAAATAAACTATGTAGAAAGTTAGAACTGTTTGGCGGTTAGATGTAGGTCTGTAGTTAGCTAAAACCTGGATCAAGAGTGCCTGCTGCTTTGAAGGATGGTAGTATATAAACTGTTAATAAAGACAGATTGAGTGTATCTTGTAAAGAAGAGGCTATTTGGTGAGGATTGATGGGAACAAAGCAATCTAAATATCTTGATATGTACTACTACTAATGTAGTAATATTGCTACAGCTGGTACTTCCACTACCACCACTGCTACTGTTTACAATTGTATTTCTAAGTTAGATGTTTTTTTCTGGTACAGTTATCTCATACACTATAAGCTGAATTTTAAAAAATAAATAAGGAAATATAATGTAAGATTTGGTGACTCAGGTTCATCAGCAACCCCCCCTGCTCTCCTCCTCTTCATCATTCATTATCCTCTACATCACAGGTTCTGCAGCAGAAACACACAAATATTAAAGACCCACACTGATCAATAGACAGATACATCCTCAGATAGAATGACTGATATGTTCTTACACAGCCTTGTAGAAACTCTTCTGGTTCATCATGTGCTGCCTGAAGATGTTTATGGCTTTGAACACGTCCATCTGATCCTGGTATTCCCCTATCACCTTTCTGTACCTGTAACACACACACACACACACACACACACACACACACACACATAGTGTAAAGGATAAATTAGGACAACATAAATCAAGTACCTAATCTTCTTTACCTGACTCTTTTGCTGTTGAACAAAATACTATCGCTAACTTTCTGGCACCGATTTAGATGACAAGACTGATGATATTTTCCTATATGTAAATAGAGCAGCAGCCGGCAGCTGGTTAGCTTAGCTTAGCTTAGCTTAGCATAAAGACTGAAAACAGGGAATAACAGCTAGTCTGACTCTATCCAAAGGAAACAAAATCCACCTACCAGCACATCTAAAGCTAATTATTTAATACATTATATCTCACTTTTTTCTAAAGTCTAAAAACAACAATTTGCTATTTCACAGGGGTTATGGGCCAGCGGAGATTCCAGGAAGTAACTGGTCCTGGTTAAAAAATAGTCAACAAAGAAGAAAACAGCTTGTTTTTACACAAGAAAAGTAAAACTATGTGCAGCAGACACAAACACGCTCTTAATTTTAGCCCCAACGTGGCTCCTACATCCCCCTGTTCAGTAGTGTCTCTTTGCCGTAGCCTCCATAAAACCGTCCCACAGGCTTCATAGTACTACAGTTGTTTTTCTGTCGCAATGGTACTATTTACGCAAGTATGTGGTAATATTTTACCACTGTTAGTACAAAACTCCAAACCCATCACACTTGTAACACAGCCAGTATTTCATTCAAAGCTTGCTGTTTGCATTCAATGGGATTGTAAACATCTCTCATTAAACAACCGTTGATTTAAAATATAAGTTTCTCGTGAAATCTCATAAGAACACAAGTTTTAATCACCAAAACACAACATAATGGTATCTTTTCAATTTACTTGTTTTACAGTTTTTTCTGTTGCTACGGTACTATTCACACAAGTGCCATATGTGGTAATAGTTCACGACTTTTAGTACAAAAAACACAACACATCATCAATAAAAACCTTTCTTAACAACTGTAAGTACATCTGACATTGTCTGAGTACAACAAAAACATGTTGAAAGACATGTTTCACATTCAAAATACATTATGTTTAATTCAAAGTACATGCATAACTTTGGATAAGTCTTCTCTCTTGTTTTAATACCTTTGTAGGAGCCATTTCAATGTTTATGTCCAGGTTTGGCCATTAGGTGGCACTAGGGTTATGGCATAGTGATTGGGGCTTATCTACTTAGGCTAGCTGTAATCAAGGACAGGTGTTGCTAGAGGGAAAAGGGCAAACTAGTTTTTGACCGCCACGCCACGCCACGCCACGCGATGGAGGCTGTGGTTGAATGCATGTTAAGTGACTGTTGGTGAAGATGGAATATTGTTCTGTTATGGAAAAGGAAATCCTTGTGTAAATCCAATAAACATCTCTCACAACAGAGAAGAAAAGATAACTTTAAGCTTTGTTGTATCATTGCTCAATCAAGCCAAAGCGACCACGGCGAGCGCGTCAACTATAGCCCACTTTAACCCTCTGCATAACCCTCGGCTGTTTTAAGCTTAGCGGTTACACAAAGTCAAAAACTACCTTTTATGAAGCGGGAAGATCGTCGCGTGTGGAGTTAGATGTTCACCGTTAAAGACATGCGGAGTGGCCACTGGAAAGGGGACATCTGAAAGCTACTCATCGAGTCATCGTGTATCTGCCCGGCGAGAGGACAGGCTGAAACGGAGTCAGCGGGGAGATTACCCGCTTAGCCCAGCATCGGTGATATGACGCGGCGGTGCTCAGCCAGCCCGGAACCAATCTACTTAACTGTTTGAGGACAACGATAAACTTCTTTCATCATTCACCAATGTGAGGACATCGTGAGACGGTTCTTCATCTACAAGGCGCCCCACGTGAGGTATGTTGTAGCGCTACAAAGTATTTGAATGGCCATTCATAAGTTGTGTGCACACTAACATACTTACCCGGGCGTAAAAATTCCAATGCATTGGTGAAGAAAGAACTGAACAGTAACTTTGTAGTTGAAAACAAATTACATTGACTATTGATTGTTATTGTTGTGACGTTCAAGTGCGCTATGAGTTTACTTGAAAAAGACGCGTCAGCTGCTGAGGCTGTTGCGCAATCAGCTGAATGTAACAGTAAAGCAGATGGTTCGGGTGTGTTAAAAGAGAAAGAAAAACGTGTTGTAACATTAACTGCAAAAGCATTTGAACAAAAGCTGGAAAGACTGCAAAATGATAGGAAGGCTAAATTAAATAAGGCTTCTAAGCTAAGGGAAAAAAAATCAAAGAGCTTGTGCAAATAGGTGATAAAGAAGGTGTACAATGTACAATGGGTGCTCTTGTTGAATTGTGCGATGATTTAAAATGTGTTCATGATTCCTTGCTGGTGATATTACCTGAGGGTGAAAGGGAAAAACATGATATTTGGTTTAAAGCAAAAATGATCTGCAATGATGAAATTCTGTCTGAGGTAAACCGCTGGTTAAATGCTATTCAATTAAAAAAAGGTAACAAAGGTGATGAATGTGGGGATGAAAAAGGTTCTCAAAAAAGGTAAAAGGGATGAGCAGGATAATGATGATATCAGGCCAGAGGACAGTGTCTCAAATGTTCCTAGCAAGCAAGTAAGCAGGAGGAGTTCTCGTAGTGGAAAATCTACTAACTCTGCAAGAATAAAGGAAGAGGCAGAAAGAGCTGCACTGCTTGCTCAGGCTGCATCTTTAAAGGAACGGCATGCATTGGAGGAACAGGAGCAACAACTAAAAAGGAGAAGAGAGCAACTTGAGCTGGAAGCTATGCTAGCTGCCTCCAATGCCAAATTGGAAGTGCTGGCCTCTGCCCCTGACATCAGCACCACATCTAATGGAATGAGTTCTTACATGAGTAAAAGCAAAAGAACAGCAAATGTTACTGAGCTCAATCCTATGGCAAAGGAATACAGGCCTGTAAACCACCACCAAGCACAGCAGGGCCAGGATTGGGCATTGCCAATTGGCAATTCACAACCTACAGCTAGGCTAACTCAGCAGGCTAGTCAACAAAGCCAGGCTGGGCTAAACCAAAGGACCGGTTCTCAAATGGACGATCATCATATTTTACCACCACAACCTTTAGGACCCCACTCATTCAATGCTCAGCCAGTAGAGGAACAGCAGGCAAACAGGCAAACCGAAATAACTACTGCATTGGCCCAACAGCAACGCTTCATGTTATTGCCGGCAAGAGAGATTCCCTTATTTGATGGCAATCCTCTTCAATATATTTCATTTATGCGAGCATTTGAGCAGGTAGTGGAGGATAAGGTCAGTCAAAGTGATTGTTTATATTACCTGGAACAATTCACGAGAGGACAGCCACGGGAGCTGGTACGAAGCTGTCAGCACATGGCAGCTGATCTAGGTTATGTTAAAGCAAAGGAGCTGCTTAAACAACACTTTGGCAACGAGTATAAGGTCGCCTCTGCATATATGGAAAAGGTTTTTGCGTGGCCGCCTATAAGGGCAGAAGATGTCAATGCACTGCAGGCCTACTCACTTTTCTGCGCTCATGCTGTAATGTCATGGAGAACATACAATATATGCAGGAGTTAGACATGACAAGCAACATGAGAATAGTCATGTCTAAGCTCCCGTTCAAGCTGAGGGAGCAATGGAGGTCAGTGGCACATAACATAATGCATACATCTGACCGTAGAGCTCTGTTCAAAGATTTGGTGGAATTCATTGAGAAACATGTCCGTATTCTGTCAGACCCTTTGTTTGGCGATATTCGGGACTCAGCACCAGGAACAGGTGGTGCTAAGGTTGACAGGCTGAAGTCGCAGCCAGGCTCAAGATTTAAAGGAAATAGTTTTGCCACCACCATTGCCCCTGTACATTCAGCAAGAGACTTAGGAGAGAGAAAGGCTGTCTTGCCAGAAAATGGTTCTACTATTAGATCAATTTGTGTGTGTTGTTCGCAAAGTCACTCTTTGGAGGAATGTCTACAGTTCAAAAGGAAGAAGCACCAGGATAAAATAATCTTTCTAAAGGAGAAAGAGCTTTGCTTTGGCTGTTTATGTGCTGGGCACATGAGTCGCAATTGTGGAAAGCGTGCACCTGTGGGATTTGCGGTCAAGCACATCCTAGTGTGCTTCATGTTGACAGGAGAGACAAAGCCAATGCATACACAGAGCGATCTAAGGATCTTGTGAGACCTAACACCACAGCATCTAAAGAAGCCTGTGGTCGTGTAGGGGTCGGAAGTGATCGCTGCCTCCTTTCCATCTTGCCAGTCCAAGTCAAATCCATCCAAGGAGGCAGAGTAATACAAACCTATGCATTTCTGGACCCCGGCAGTTCAGCCACTTTCTGTTCGGAACATCTCATGCAAAGGCTTGGGTTGTCTGGTAAACAAACACATTTTCTGTTACAAACCATGGGACAGGAAAGGGTCGTGCCGGCAAATTTATTGTTTGACTTGGAGGTGTCTAGTATGGATAGTAATGTCTTCTATAAGCTACCAGAAGTCCTCACGCAGAAGAAAATGCCTGTAAGTGCAGACAGTATTGTCTCTGAAGAGAGTTGGCAAAATGGTCATATCTGGCAAAAGTACAGATTCCCAGCTTAGAGGCTAAGTTGACCTATTAATTGGAAGCAATGCTCCGAGGATATTGGAACCTTGGGAGGTCATAAATAGCCAAGGGGGAGGACCATACGCAATCAAGACTGTATTGGGGTGGGTCCTTAATGGCCCTTTGCAGTCTAATGACAGCAGTTTGGAGACAGATGCTCCTTCAGTAGTCGTTAACAGGATTTCCGTGAGACGATTGGAAGAAATGCTACATAGCCAGTACAATCATGATTTTAACGAAAGAGCTACAGAGGACAAAGGCCCTTCAGTAGAAGACATCAAGTTCATGGAAATTATGGAAAATTCTGCAACACTGGACGATGGTCATTACATTTTGAAGCTGCCCTTTAAAAAGAACAATGTATCTCTGCCCAACAACTTCTCTGTAGTAAAGCAAAGGTTGCTCGGGCTGAAAAGGAGGTTCCGTAATAACAAACAGTTTTATGAGGAATACAAAATGAACCTCAACAGGGTGATCAGTCTGGGCTACGCAGAGCAAGTTTCAGAACAGCAGTTGGATCACAAATGGCGATACATCAGCTCCAAGGAAAATCCAGCGGATGAGGCATCCAGAGGAGTGAGGGTTGGAGACTTTATTCATGGCCGGAGGTGGATAGAGGGTCCAAGTTTTTTGAGTGAACCAGAAGCTAACTGGACAACAAATGTTGTAGAAACTATCATAGAACCCAATGATCAGGAAGTCACAGTGAATGTTGTGTCTGTGGATGGCTCACATGATGCCACAAACCGGTTGCTGACTTACTTCTCAAGTTGGAGTAAGCTCAAGGTGGCAGTAGCCTGGTTACTTAAATGGAAAGCCATTCTGTTCGAAAAATGTCGCAGGAGGAGGGAGGAGAAAGCTGATGGTAAGCAGAGCACGGACAATAATATGCCACGGAGGAGGCAAGGGTTAAAGGACAAGCCTGGAGGGCAAATTTTGTCCATAGATGACCTTTTGGGAGCCGAGTTAGCTGTAATTCGATACTGTCAGCAACAGCGATTTGGAGAGGAAATTGCCATGTTGTCAGCTGGGAAATCTACAGTGAGCAGACGTAGTACAATCCACAGGTTGGATCCGCGCTTGGATGATGGGCTTCTCAGAGTTGGAGGGCGGCTGACTAAAAGTTCCTTGCCAGAGTCGATTAAACATCCGCTAATCCTCTCCAAGGATCAAAATGTGGCCACTCTCATCCTCAGGCACATTCATCAGCAGCAGGGCCATAGGGGGGCGGAATCACACGCTATCAACACTGCGGACGAAGTATTGGGTCACTAGAGCCAACCCTGCTGTAAGAAAGGTAATTGCAGAATGTTTCTGTTGCAAGAAATATAATGGAAGGGATGCAGGAGCAAAAGATGGCTGATTTGCCAGAGGAAAGGATTCTTCCTGACAAACCACCATTTACCAACGTTGGCATTGATTATTTTGGCCCAATTACAGTGAGGAAAGGACGTGGTACAGACAAGCGCTATGGCGTGATACTAACCTGCTTGGCAAGCAGAGCAATCCATCTCGAAGTGGCTGACTCTTTGAACACTGACGCATGCATCAATGCTCTGCGACGTTTCATCTGTAGAAGAGGTCAAGTTTCTCATATCATATCTGATAATGGAACCAACTTCATAGGAGCAGAGCGAGAACTAAGAGAGGCTCTCGCAGCTTTAGATCATGGAAAAATTCAGGGAGTTCTGCGGCAAAGGGGAGTTAAGTGGAGCTTTAATCCTCCTGCAGGTTCACATCATGGTGGGGTTTGGGAGCGTGTTATCCGCATGGTGAGAAGGATTCTAAGTTCAGTTCTTCAACAGCAGACCCTGAACGATGATGGGCTTCATACAGTTATGTGTGAAGCTGAAGCCATCCTGAACGATCGGCCTATCACCAAACTCTCAGATGATCCAAATGATTTGGAGCCACTTACTCCCAACCACATTCTTCTGATGAAAGGAAATCCATCATTGCCGCCAGGATTGTTTGAACCACATGACTTGTATTTAAAACGGAGATGGAAGCAAGTCCAGTATATTGCTGAACTTTTTTGGAAACGTTGGGTACGGGAATATCTACCTTTGCTGCAAGAGAGGCAAAAATGGAATGAAACCAGGAGAAACCTAAAGCCTGGAGATATTGTCGTTATAATGGATCCTACTGCCCCACGAGGCTCTTGGCCACTAGGAAGAGTGTTGGAAGCTTTCCGGGATCAAAAGGGATTTGTGCGTTCAGTGAGCCTGCAAACAAAGTCAAGTGTCATTCAACGTCCTGTTACAAAGCTCTGCCTTTTGATTGAGGCTGCAGGTTAAATGGGCAATTTTCAGTGTTAATGTGTGTGAACTCATTTAACAAATGTTGGATAATATGTTACGTTAGGTTGGTACTGGATCCTTAATTTGGTTTGTTTTGAATTGTAATGTTTGTTAACCATTCCAATTGGGGGCCGGTGTTGTAGGAGCCATTTCAATGTTTATGTCCAGGTTTGGCCATTAGGTGGCACTAGGGTTATGGCATAGTGATTGGGGCTTATCTACTTAGGCTAGCTGTAATCAAGGACAGGTGTTGCTAGAGGGAAAAGGGCAAACTAGTTTTTGACCGCCACGCCACGCCACGCGATGGAGGCTGTGGTTGAATGCATGTTAAGTGACTGTTGGTGAAGATGGAATATTGTTCTGTTATGGAAAAGGAAATCCTTGTGTAAATCCAATAAAAATCTCTCACAACAGAGAAGAAAAGATAACTTTAAGCTTTGTTGTATCATTGCTCAATCAAGCCAAAGCGACCACGGCGAGCGCGTCAACTATAGCCCACTTTAACCCTCTGCATAACCCTCGGCTGTTTTAAGCTTAGCGGTTACAACCTTCTACTATCACTATGCTCATTGTTCTAAATTAATCATCGCTGAAACATCTGCTTAATAAACATGTATGTATCGTTTCATTTTCCTGATATGGTCAGATTCAAAACTTGAGAATCACGTGAGATTTTTACTCTATTTGACCTCAGTGGGATTCAAACCGACAGCCTTAGTGTCGGTAGCGTAGAGCTCTAACAAACAGAGGAAGTGAAAGAATATTCTTATGGGGCTTAATTGATAACTGGGAAAGGCAAGACAGGTCTAGCTTTTAGTCATTAGCTGACCACAAGTGTTCCCTGACCTTCCAGCTCTAATTCTTTCTCTCATGTAACTGTCCTTGTTAGCGAGACCTTGTTAGTTAGAATGCATGAATGGATTTTACATTTCATCGCTTTATCAAGTTAATGTAGAACAATGTTTGCAACACTTTTAAGTGTGTTAAATAAATAAATGTAATGTTTGAAGTTCTTTAAATTGAGTTGAAACGATCACTTATTCTGTGCACAAGGCTTTTAATATGTGGAAACGCCGACACACAGCCCAGCTGAAAAAATAAGGCTGAATTTAGGCTTGTTATACAGCTCATAAGAACACATCAAATCAAAGCATTATTACAGACTACGCCTGTTCATTTAGCCTATTCACAATGTGGCCATTTTCTGTCTCCCTGCATGTGTCAGCCGCAGCTGTGCTACTAAGACTGCGTCTATTTGTCTAATATTACAGTTTGTTCTTTGTTTTTAAAATATGATGCTCTGATGCCAGTGGACTTGTTTATGTTTCTGATTGGTCTTTCTCCCTAACACCGCCTCTTTTATGTGAACAAGCTCACGGCTGATAACCAGCTTCGTGTGACCGCTAATCCTGATCGCGATTGTTAGGGTTGGTGAAGCCAGATAACGCTCCTGCTCTACAGACCTCTGACAGCACCTTTACTATTGAAATAATACTTATGTACTTTTCCTAAAGGAAAGTATTGACTTTTACTTGTAGAAGAGTATTTATACTTGATATACTTTTCTTCTCACACATTCATTCACTGGTGAGACAGCCACCAGGGGCAATTCGGGGTTCAGCATCTTGCCCAAGGACACTTCAACATACAGCCTGGAGGAGCCGGGGATTGAACCGCCGACCTTCAGATTAACAGGGAACCCGCTCCTGAGCCACAGCCACCCTGGTGCTTCTGCTTAAGTCAAGGATCTGAGTACTTCTCTGCCTAATGAGTACTTTTACTTTTGATTCATTGAGCACATTTAGTACGTAGTATGCAGGATTTGAAACAGTATTTTTTATAATGCAGTATTACTACTGTGAAAAATCTCACTACTTCTTCTGGGTTATTTATTTGCTTTCTTATTTTGGAATAAAACCCTCTAATTGCACCTGCATGTAGAAACACAGTATGTTATACTAGTTAATGTACTTGCGCGTCCAGGCAACCTCCTTGAGACTCTCTTCACTCCACTGCTGGTAGATGCTGCCAGCCTTAACCTCAGACCCAGACACCAGCGTGGAACCAGGCTTGAGCTCAGAGAAGAGCTGCTCCCTGGCCAGGAAGTCCCGGAGGCAGGCCCGGGCCGACAGGGCCACCAGCCAATAGACCGGCTCCTCCAAAACCACATAGTGGAAAGACTGCAGGGCGAAGTGGAGCCACTGTGGGGGAGGTGAAATGAAGAGGCTCTGGAGGAGGAGACAATGAAAAACTAAATTACAATTTTTTCACATTCATCTGATTTATTTTGATCAAGGTGCTTACATGGGCATTTTTAATCTGATTGGCTGTAATTCTTCTTACTAGTGACCAAAAATGTACTTTTGTAATCACAGCCGGTCTGTGTGTCTCACCTGGTTTCTGCTTCTGTAGTGTTTGAGTGTGTCCAGCAGCAGTGATCTCGTGTTCTCATCTGCTTCCTGTAAACTACACATCAGGGTCTGCAGGAACAAAAACATGACGCTTATATCAAAACCCAGACACACCAGTTCACCATTTTGAGGTTCCTAATCTTATTTAGGGGTTGTACCAGAACAGTTTTACATGGTTTAATTTTCTTTTTCTGTCAAACTGCACATTGCTGCAGCTCCTCTTTCCCTCATGTCTGTTGAACGCTTCGTTTTAAGCTACCGAGTGAAGCATCCTCGTGAGCAGTACCTATAGTGAAAGACTACTAGCCAATCAGAAGCAGAGTAGGGCGGGTCTTGACGACCTCCTGAACTGTTTTGCTACCCTAATCTGCCCAGCCTTCTCAGTCGACATCCGGGTCGGCCTCCTGAACTGTTCTGCCCCTCTGCCCTGCCCTGTGTCTTAGGCCGAGCGCCTTACCTGCCCTGTTCCCTGTTCCCTAACCCTGCTCTGTCTGTTTGGCCGTCGCCGTGAACTTCATGACCCCCCTGCTCTGCCCTCAGGGCGCCCGCCTGAGAATGCTCCATGGCTTTGTCTTTTCTTCAAAACCTGGCCTGGACCCCAGCATCTTTGACAGCCTTTGCACTATTTCAAAACTGCCTTTTACCTCCTGGAATTGATTGTCTCTAAGCAGCTATTGGCTGCTATGGATTGTAAAAGCACCTCTGAAAAAGGCTGGCTTCGGTCAACATCATAGTGCAGAGACATCCCTTCTGAAAGTCATTAGAACCCGGTTTATGCTGTATTCTGGTGCTGCTGAACTTGAGCGCAGCATTCGATACAATGTTGACGACGATGTTTTCTCTTAGACTGAAGCGCTTGGTGGGCATATCGGGTTGCAACACATTGTCACTCCCGACTCCTCACATATGGACGCATGGTTAAGGCCTTTTGGTGTTGCTTTTTAACGCCCTGTGCACCCCTATAGCGTAATTTTTATATGTGTAGGGCTATGCGGTCAAGTTAGCGACGCTTAGCAACACCAAATATGCAACTTCAGGTAACGTTAGTGACAATTAATATCCGGTTAGACTTTTCAAAAGATCGCAATTTTGAAACATTGTCTTATTTAAGTTGTAAAACGTTGCAATTTCATTAGGTTTAGACACAAAAGGTACTTGGTTAGGTTAGGAAAAGATCATGGTTTGGGTTAAAATAACTACATACATCAGTTAACACGTAAGTTAACTAACGTCACTTGCGTAACACGAACCCTGCTCTCCTGTTTCAAAATCCGCCTCAGTCTCCACCCACCTCAAGCACCTCCTTATTCAGTCTTTTGTGTTAAATATTATATTTTTATATATATTCCCTCACTGCGTTGAACTATGACACTAAAGGGATCCCCAGTGCATTATGAACAAACACAGATGAGTCTTGACCATGCATCCATATGTGACAGGTTGGGGAGTGAGAATGGGCTGCAGGAACTGTTCTGAGCTGGTTTACTTCATACTTGTCAAATAGGAAGTGTTACGTTGGGCCTCAAGGCTCAAGGGTCAATTCTTGGTACAGTTTTATTCTCCATATACAGTATATGCTCCCCCTGGTTGAAGTGATTCGCAGATATGGTATTTCTTTCCACTGTTATGCTGACGACACTTATATATTCTCTTGAAGCCCACTGACCTGAATATGCTGAATTCCCTCCAGTCTTTTATATCTGCCAGGCATTTCTGGCAGATATAAAAGACTGGATGTCAAATAACTTTCTTCAACTGAACTCCAACACAACAGAAATTATTATTAAGCATTATCGGAGGGCACATCCTGATTTTTATCTGAGCTGCCTGTTTTATCTTTAGGTTTTTATTTTAGTTGCTATTTATTCTAGTCTTATTTTTATAGTCTCTATATAGTATAATCTGTTTTACCCATTTGTGATTTCTATTCCTATTTTTGTTTGTATTTTGTATCTTGTGTTACGTACCATTTTTACGCTACTTTTTGTGTAGTGCTTTGTACTTTTGTTTGATAAGTGGTATATAAATAAAGTTTTTATTATAAAACGTGCATTTAATAAGTGCACACTGGGGACGAAGCCTTAGAGTATGATTTCTTACTTGAAGGTTTGAAAACCTTTGAGAGAAAGTGTCTGAAAGGAAGAGTAGGAGTGTTACAAGACCACAAAATAAAAAGTCAGTTGAAGTGCAAAGTTTAGAGTTGTTGTAGGAAAATATTGGAAACATACAGACTCCACTAACAGAGGCTGAAGAGCTGGAAAGAGCTTAAAATCACAGACTAATGAGAGAGTGGACGGTCATCAGTGGATTAGAGTATAGTTTAGTAAAGAAAAAAAGGCTATGAGATGAACAGGTAGAAAGACAGAAAGAAAAACAGATAAACCAGCAAAATGAAAAGGTGCCACATGCACATTTAAAGAAGTTACTTCCCCCAAAAAAAGACACAAAACAGGAGGGAAGACTAAATCACGCCTGCATGTGTGCTGACTCAGCAAGCATTTTATTATATTAGAATAGTTGATCAACAGCATAAAACATTTAAAAGCAATAGCTACAGAATGCCTGAAAGCCTTACTGCGTTATATCATGTTAATTTTTCATATTTTGTCACTTGCTGCCTGAATTTCCATATATTAAGACTTATCCAATATAAATTGGGGCGAAAAGGCAGAAATTGGTGCATACATTATCACCAGAATGCAGGAAATGAAGTCTTCAATACCACTTTAAAATCTTGCTTGGGCTCCAACATTGTTAGGGCCGGCCCTGCAAACCAGGCAAAATCAAAAACCTCTGACCTCCAGTGTGCTGCTGACTCTGTGCAGATAGAGCGCCTCCTGCTGGATGAAGTTGTTGTAGCAGCGCTGGGTCAGCTGACCGGACCGGAGCTCCCTGAGGAAGGAGGACGAGCGGAGAATCTCCTCCGCCAACGAGTCGCTGTTGCCCCCAAACAACATCAAACAGACTCACACTGGGGACTAAGCCTGAGAGACAGAGGGAAATAAATCAAAATCATATTCCTATGTGACCAACAGGTTCACTGGTTGTTGCTGCATTTTTGTTACAAAAGCAGGTGCTGCACTGTAGAGTGGCCTTGTGTCAAAATGTACTTTAAAGACATGATGTCATTCTTGAAGCTTTAGGTTTTTGCATGTATCACGGGCCTTTACAAAGTGTTGTGTTGGAGAGATTTGGGTGGAGCGGAGGGAGAGAGCCTCTGCTTGCCGACTGAGAGCTACTGAGTGATGGGGAGTTGTGGAGGAGAGAGCCAGGGGCAGCTCCGGAGCTTCTGGAAAAATAAACAATAGGAGTTGCAGACGGTTCTGCTCTAGACGGAGCCGTTTCCCAGCAGGAGGAGATCAGAGTTCATTTTCTTTTATTGAATTAACTTTTATATTTTAATTTTTGGGGATTAAAAGTGGATTTATCTTCACTCTCGCTTCTCAACCTGCAAATCTGCATCATCGAGTAGTTATTTTGCCATGATTTTGATCCGTTCATTGTAATTAAATCACAACTAAATGTTTATTTTTGGTGCATCCCACCCTATTACCAGATTAGGATCAAATATTTCAGCGGCCAAACTTGCACAATTAATGTGAAGCGAAATTTTGTTTCGCATTGTATGTGAACCACGCAGTCTCTGATGTGAACACACCAAAAGAAGTGTTTCCGGTTTTTTACTCTGCAGCGAGTGATTAGTAAAAGTTGCTAGTGGGAAAGATCTGGAAAAAGGTAGTAATTAGACTTTGAGTTGTGATTGTTTTGTCAAACTTGTATTTCCAAAGTCAGACATGGTCCAACAGTAATTTCTTTGCCATACGTACTGGGATGCAACAACAATCAGTAAACTGTTACCTGGTTTCCTGTCGCTGGGGAGGACTTCAGAAGAGGAGCTGGAGATAAACAGAGGAGATTACAAACAACCACTTAATATTTGGCTTTACACACAATGACAAACTAACATATTCAGACACACGTGGTCGATCATCACACATCAGGACCTTTTACTTTATTCTTATACATTTGCAGTTTAAAGCTTTAACAGGAAGCTGCTTTAGAGTGAGCCTCCTATGGAACTCATTTTATCTGCCACGGGAAATTTCACGTGCCATCGCTGTAGCGGTTTACATTCAACCCTCTGCCGACCCGACGTCAGCCTGTAATGTCATCCACTCCCAAGTGCCCTCTTAGTGATCTTGGGTGACTTCAACCAAGTCACCATGACCACCACACTAACCAACTTCACCCAGTATGTGAACTGTCATACTAGAGAGGAGAGGACCCTGGAACTGCTGTATGCTAATATTAAGGATGCATACAGCTCTTCCCCCCTCCTCCCCCTGGGCAGGTCAGACCACAACCTGGTTCACATCAATCCCTGCTATGTGCTTCTGGTGAAAAGGCAGCCTGCGACCACAAGGACAGTGAGGAGATGGTCAGGAGGCCTATGAGACACTACAGGGATGTTTTGAGGTGACAGACTGGGATGCACTCTGTGAGCCACATTGAGAGGACATATGTAGATGTGCTTACTGAGTGTATCACAGACTACATAAACTTCTGTGTGGACTGCACTGTCTCAGCAAAAACTTTCCATTGTTACCCAAACAATAAAACATGGGTAACAAAGGACATCAAGGACATCCTGAATGCAAAAAGGAGTGGAATAGGGAGGAGGTGAGGGCCATTCAGGGGGACCTGAAGGTGAAGATCAGGGAGGAGGAGAAGTACAGGAGCTCTGGGTTGCACCAACTATGTGTAAGTTCAAACTTATCCTAGTTTGAACGCAATTTCTAACTTAAGTCGGAGTTTACGTGCTACTTACGTTTTAAGGGTTGCACCAGCTGAAATATGTGCAACGTAGACATAAGTTACAACTTAAATCTTACACCTAGTCCTTAATAGGTGTAAAACACTCCATAAAATAGTCGAGTAATTGTTATAGCGCATCGTTTTTAAGGGGTGGTGACTGGGATCTTCTGATTGAGTAGTCACTCACAGTAAACCTTCTCGCCTAGCCAACTCAGAAATCGCTGGAGAAAAGTAGGGTGGACAAAACCTAGATTTTGAAATATGAGGGGGACAATGGCTCCTACCTGTAGATAAGTTTTAATGTTACAATTTCATCTTATACTTTACCGTTCGTTACGTAAATTACGTCTATGTTGTAGGTAATGGTTTTACCACTCGATGTCACTGTTGGACTAGCTGTAGATTAAGGTTTCATCGTTATCACCTAATCATAATTATTTTTTTTGTAGGTGTTTTGTTGCTATTTTTAGCCGTTAGCCTCTTCAGTATTGCAAAATGTTCAAAGAGAGAGAGACAAACAGATGACAAAACCTTAATAAACTCTGATTGGCCATGGGATGTGTAAACGTGATTTTCTGCGACACTGTTTAGATGGGTATGGACGCCAGAGTAGGTAACATGAACCTTACGTCTCAGTGGTGCAACCAAACATTGACACAACTTAAGTCTCAAACTAACTAGTTTCAATGTATGTTTTAGTGTGGACTTTACACCTGGACCCTAACTTAAGGTAGAACTTGCGTATCGCTGGTGCAACAGGCTGCAGGAACATAAGGGAGGTCTGGAGCGGCATGAGGAACATCACTGGCTTCAGACAGACTGGCAGCAGGAGTTGAAGGCAGCTTGGACGGGGCCAACGAATTTAATCTGTTCTTTAACAGATTTGACTCTTTCGCTCCCGCCCACTAACTCATCTGCTGTGTCACCTCCAACCCCACTACTCCCCTCCTCCTCCTCTGGCTCTCAGGTTAACAGCTCTCTCCTGTCTGACGAGTCCTCCTCTCCCCCACCTGTGACCTCTGTGTGCCTCACTGCTGACCAGGTGAGAAGACAGCTGAGGAGACTCCACTCTAATAAGGCTTCAAGCCCTGATGCTGCCATCTTCAGAGGTTTTCTGATGACTCTGCGGTGGTTGGATGGATCAGCACGGTGACGAGGCTGAGTACAGAGCTGCGGTGGGGGACTCAAGACTGAAACATCTGCAGCTCAATGTGACAAAGACTAAGGAGCTGGTTGTGGATCTAAGGAGAGCAAAGGCACCAGTGACCCCTGTTTCCATCCAGGGAGTCAGTGTGGAGGATTACAAGTACCGGGGAGTGCACATGGACAATAAACCGGACTGGGCCAAGAACACTCAAGCCCTCTACAGGAACTGCGCAAGAGTCGTCTCTATTTTCTGAGGAGGCTGAGGTCCTTCAACATCTGCAGGACGATGCTGAGGATGTTTTATGAGTCTGTGGTGGCCAGTGCTATCCTGTTTGCTGTTGCATGCTGGGACAGCAAGTTGAGAGTTGCGGACGCTAACAGACTCAACAAACCGATCCATAAGGCCAGTGTTGTTGTGGGGGTGGAGCTGCACTCTCTGTCAGTGGTGTTAGAGAGGAGGATGCTGTCCAAGCTACATGTCATCTTGGACAGTGTCTCCCACCATGACTTGCTGCTCAAACACAGGAGTACTTTCAGTGCAAGACTCATTCCCCCAAAATGCACCACTGAGTGCCACAGGAAGTCATTCCTGCCTGTGGCCATCAAGCTTTATAACTCCTCCCTCTAAGTGTCTGACACACGGGCCATTAGTAAGTTTTTAAACTGGACTATTATCTACGTTTGTGCAATATTATCTGCTGCTATTTCTTCACTAGTCCTTTTTGGTTCACCATAATAATTCTTAATAATGTAAATATTGTACATACCCACACTCCTTTTATATTTTTCTTTATATTTTATATTTATACTATGTCCTGAGTTGTTTAACACATCTAGATGTGAATATCAGGAAATGAGAGCTGAAATTCTGAACTCTTGTCTCCTACTATCTTTTGATCTTGAACCCAAATGTCTTCAGTGAACAACAAAAACAAAGGCATTTGCCTTACTGTTCCAATACTTTTGGAGGGGACTGCATTTATATACTCTTTATCTATTTCTATTCCTTATGCCTTGCAAGTGTGCAATTGTGACAAAAATCAAGGGATCAATAAAGTAATTCTAAATAACATATTGTACATATTCTTTATTCATTTATAATGTTTTTAAAATCTTATTGTCAGTTTTATATTTTTATATGAGTCTTGAATTGCAGTACCTGCTTAATCTTTCTTTCTACTTTCTACTTACTGTTTGTTGTTATGCACCAAAATACCGGAAGCACATTCCTTGTATGTGTAACCCTACTCGGCAGCTGATTCTGACTCTGATACTCAACAGATTTTGTGTCACTTAAAGTAAATAACCTGAACACTTCCAACATTGTTTTTAAACTTTAGCCTACCTGGCTGTGGTGGAGCAGATGTAGAACCTGAGCCCTCTACAGGGGGTGCTGTGCAGCTTTCCACCTGAAAAGAAAACACACAAAAGTATCAAGTTTAAGTTTTAACATTTTTAAAGAATAATAATGTAAAGTATTATGTAATTTAAACAACAAATTACAATACATTATTTATTCATTTAAAAAGGAATAATCCATTTATAAACTACATTGATCCATTCATTCCTTGTTTTTTTCTTTTACTTTTTGGTGCCATTTCCAGGCAAGCCCCGCCCTTGTTGGTCTTTCTCTGCCTCTGATTGGTCCAATCACTCATCCTGAAGGAGGAGTTGTCGCTCCAAAACCAGGAGCTGTTCTTCAGATGAGCAAAACAAAGAGACACTGTCACCTTGGGCTGTGGGTAACTGTGATTGTATTTCTCACTATTATTAAAATGTTAACAAACATAAATCAATAATGTAGAAAATAATCAGCAGATTAATCCATAATGAAAATAATCATTAGTCGCAGTCAGATACAAAATAGCTCCAATGAGTTCCACCTCAACAACTACAAACTCCTGCTTTACATTAATACATGAGGAATAATAACCTGGTGATAGAATATATTATAGTGTAACAGTGACAGGAGACATTTTAGTACTTTTAATACTTT